GGGCCTGCGGGAGGCTGAGTGCGGGGCTGGGAGGTGGCTGGGGCTAGGGGGTGTCTGAGGCGGCCCCCAGGAGAGGAGGGTGTGGGCAGAGCTCAGCTGGGCACCTGGTTGGGGAGTGGGGGTGCCTGGGGGTGGCCCTTGGAGTGCAGCAAGAAGGAGGAAAGTCAGGGCTGGGGACGGCAAGGTAGATAAAAGGAACGCGGCTGCCTGCGCTTCGGCTGCCAGGGGAGCTGCAACGTGGGTCCCGGCCACAAGTAGTGTGGCCCTGGGTGTCCCCTGGCCCCGGCGGGCAGTGGGGAGCGCAAGGAACGCTCCTGAGACGAGGAAACCAGGTTCCCCTGGCCAGAGGCTGGTTCGTTGTACTCTGCCGGGGCTGTGTGGCCCTTAAAATGTGTGTCTGAAAGCACAACAAATTAATTGTGTCCTTGTCGTTAAACCAAAGCTTTTGGGGAAAAACCACATGGTGGTGATCAGGGGTGATCCTCTGTGTCCAGGTTATTCCATCCTCAGGTTTGTTCTCTTCTCCAGATGAATAAGCTTTCAGTCAGGGGCCCTGCTTCTTCTGAGATGGTTTGACTTGGACTGGAGATTTGGCTGCTTCACAGGCTGGCCATGAGATACCCAACATTGTTTTTCCTTGTTGCAAACGCACATTTCTATGTGCAGGTTTCAGAACGACTCTAGAAATTTGAAGAGCCAGATGAAATATATGACGAGAACTGAAAAACAGCTTGGCTTATTCTGCTGAAAAGTTTGGGTTCTTTCCAAAGTTTATAATAAAAAACTGAAAACACTCTTGTCAATATTCTAATCTTTAAACTCCCTTGGAAAGGCTTCATTAAGTTTTCTAAGCTGTGTGTATTGCTGTATTATTTTGCTTTAACTCTGAAAGGTTAGAGGACAGTTTTTGCCTAAGTCCATAGGTGACATTCTATGGAACTGGAAATTGTGGACTCTTGCATCTTGCTCCCGATTCAGTATTGTGCAGCTGAGACACACTTCTCTTGTTTTAATTGTTATTCTGCCCAGGCAAGGTGAATGCATTTAAATACGCATATCAGGAGACTTGTGATCTTAGACCGTAACAAGAACATAACTTTTCATTACCATTTTGCAGAAATCATAATGCTTTAAATCCCCCAAGAAATTGCAAGCTCTGTTAACCTGCAACTTTCATTTTTTTGGTTAATATCTGAACTTTGTTAACAATGCGCATAACAACGTTTCCTTTGAATTACTCTAATGTTTGACTTACAGTTAGTTTCAGGAAGGTAATTGAAGTATTTCTGAGCCTAAAAATGCTGTTGAAGATTAAAACGTGGTTCTGTGGGCACGTGGGAATTGGCAGGGGAAGGCTGTGTTTGGTGGGCTCACCCTGCACGCCTGTGTCTGGCTGTGTACTGCTTCTGCCCCGTAGGCACCCAAAATGTCCTCTTAATAGTACCTTGGCAGGATGTGTTTTGATTGCCTCCCCGGTTTACACTGTCAGGAGATAGACTGCAAGCATTAGAAGAGACTGCAGAAGTGGAGAGTTCAGCCCAACTCTTCAGGAACCAGATTTAAATACCAAGTTTCTGTATTAAACAACGTCCCAAAATGCTTTTTGTTCTGGAAGATCCCTGTGGCCTTTCAGTGAGGATCAGGGAGGGAGGCACAGCACCATGTTACAGGTTTCTTCTGAGGTGGGTGCAGGTGGCTCTTGGGTGTTCCCTCCAGGTTTGGCATTTGGGTGGTGTATGAATTGCTTTGCATTAATATATTTGCAGCCTCTGTGTGCAAGTGTGTTACAGGAAGGCTGTAGCCTGTTTTGTTAGGCTTTTGGTTGATCTACCTTGTAAAGCTCATCCTGTGCTGCTTTTTTTTTCTGTTTGGTGAAGACAGGAACAAGTCATCACGATGCCAGCGCTGCCTCTGGATGAACTCCAGCTGACAGAAAGGGATCCCAAGACAGGGAAGCTGAGAACTTTACCGGCACTGGTGAGCTGTGTTTTTCCTGAAAGCCAAACAAGACCTTTAATAAAGAATTGTCTTGTGTTGAGGCCTGGACAAAACTACCCCTTGGTCCAGGATGTGATGAAATTTGGTCAGCTTCCACATTAAAGAAATCGTTTTCTTCATGTTTTAGTGCATTCAGATAGTTGAGGATTTTATTTCAGTGGTGGGTAAAGGAAAACTTAGTGTGCTCAACATCTGTAGTAAACTGTGTTCTCCCGGAACTGCTTGATCTTTTTAGGAACAGCCCAATTAGGAAGGTAACCTTTGCTGCGATAGCGAGAATGCTTTGGGAGCTTTTGCAAGCTCTGCGTGAAGTTTAGCTCTGAGCTGTAGCACTGGGATAAGTCCGTCCATTTGCTGCGTCCCATGACCTCCCGCCCCGTGGCTTTGGTTTGGGGAAATCGGAAGATTAAATCCACAGTTACCCCTTTCTTCCAGAAATAAGGTGTGGAGAGAGCCTTCTGGGCATGTTGCAGGACCTGCTGTTAATGCTGTTTGCCTGTGAGGTTTACCCTGCACATGCATCTGGGTTGAAGTAGGGCTTGAAGCCGCTCCTTGTTCCTCAACATGATTCTCATTCTAGGATGGGAGTATTTGGGCAGAGCCTGTTCAGTAATGCTTGGGAAGGGCAGTGAAATGTTTCTTCGCTGTAGCTGGTGGTCATGTTAGTTCGACTTCATGGAATGTTGTGCAAGAACCAGTTTGGAGGAAAAAGAGAGCGTGCAGGCCGTGTTTCAAAGACATGGCATTGAGCTGTTGCTGTTTGTTTGGAAGGTGTGGGAGGATTGCTCTGCAAGGCTTTTGGTTAATAGAATGCAAGGAGCATCTACCAAATTATGAAGATCTGGAAATGCTGCTGATAAATAGGGATACAAACCACTGATCGGCTGCCTTGAAAGACTGGAAAATGAGCCATTACTAGGGAACTGAATGTCCAGTTGTATTAAAGTGTGATGTTGTGTTGGTTTCCTAAAATTCAGTGAGCAGTGCGAATGGTAACTGGGCCCTCCTGTCTGTAGTTTTAATACAATATTTTGGCTTTCTGCAGCACCCAGAAATAAAAGCAGATCGGTCTTTTGTGCTATACAGACCGCCACCTCTTGTCAGAGACCCTGCTTTAGTTGAAGAATTCTTGGAGCGGGCCAAATTCATTGCAGATGACCTGAACTGGCTCCTGGCTTTGCCTCATGACAAATTCTGGTGCCAGGTAATGATTGTTTTGTGGACACTGGGGAAAAAGCCTGAGCAGTCTAGGTGCTCATAAAAGCCATAAACTTTAAGTAATTTTCATACAGACTTATATATGCTCATTATGTCATTTGTCAAGCATTTTAATTTTAAGTACTGCACCTTGGAGTGCAAAGAAAGTGGTATTTCCCTATGGTTTTTTCATTGTGCATTTTAAGAGCTTGCTTGTATTTGATGCATAAATGAATCCTTTTTGCACTCTTGAGTCTTTTAGATTGCTTTTAAATTTAAACTGGGCTGTCCAAGAGCACAACCTATGAATGTGTGACATTCCCTTCTTTCTTGTCTTTCATTGTGCAAGGTAATATTTGATGAGACGCTTCAGAAATGCCTGGATTCCTACCTGTGCTATGCCCCTCGCAAGTTTGATGCGTTCTTGGATTGCCATCCAGAGGTGAATGACATGCAGAAATGTCTTCATCGCAGCATCTTCCTGACTTTCCTCAGGATGTCTACTCACAAGGAGTCCAAGGTAAAGATTTCTGTGCCTTGCAGCTGCTCTGGGCTGTTTAGCTTAGGAAAAAAGACAATTGGAGAAATTAATCGTGTTTCCTACTTGCGTGTCCAACTGCATTCCTCTGCCTGGCTATTTTTATCAGTCTGTCTCTCCGTATGGAGATGATAACTGCTCCGAGCTGAGGTATCTGAACTATGCAGTGATTTCTTAGGAAGGAGATCCAGGCAGTCTACCAGGTAATAGCAGGTTAGCCGTGTGCGGTGGCACGATACGTTGCTATGAGGGAAAAAAGAGCAAGTTGGCCTTTGTACAGCTGCATTGAACAGAAGCTGTTCGGAACAGCAGTAGCTGAGCATTTGCTCCCTCAATGCCACTTCCTCTGTGCCAGGCAGTGTCGCGTAATCTATGCTAATACTTGCTTCTCCTTGAACTTTCCCTATGTTTTGGACACACAATGAAATTGCGCTAAATTACTGTTTTCTTAGCATCATAATTGAAAGACGTACGGAGCCTTTAATTGTGTGAGTGCAGCTCCCATCAGGAGCTGTGGAATTTTCACGAGGCCTTTGGGCAGGATGAGTGAGGCACCTTGTGTTTTAGCAATTACTCCCTTGATACCCTCATTGGTTAATGATGTGTTATTTAGTGATGTACTGATGTTCTGGATTATCACAATGGTGACATTCAGGACGTGTTGAGGAAAGTTCGTGGAGTGGGAGTTGGAGGACTGGGGCGGGAACAGGTCGAAGGAATGCTGGAGCCCGCAGCTGGCACCGCTTCAGCGAAAATACGACACCTCTGTGGTGTCTTTCGTTCCGGGATCTGATTAAATCTTACCACTCCAATGAGGCAGACAAGCATTTGAAACCGTTTTATAGTTGAGTAGTTTGAAGAGAATGAATAGTCTGTTGTTGTGCGGGCAGTCAGCAGGAGTTCTGGAAACTGAGCCTAGCCAGTGTAAAGTCCCGTCCCTCTGCTTTAGCAGGGGGAATGCACATACTGCCTTTCGCTGGGATTGAAAACATTTGCTATCATAAGCAAATTTGTCTTCTGAAAACCCAAAATCACATTTTAGCTTGCTTCTCGGTGTCAAAGGCAATGGAATTCTTGTCATCCAGAATTTTAGAGGAAGTTCCTCCTGTGTTAGGAGTCGTGTTTTTGACCAAGTGTTCTGGTAGGCAGGGTACAGAGCTGCAGTTCCTGGGTTTTCCTCCTACTCGTCGCTGATGCAGTTGTCTTTGGTTCCTTGATTCTGCTCTCCCAAGGTGCCACTGACCTCAGGCTGTGATCTCGCCTGTACTTTTTCAGTGTCAGTGCCATTCCTATGCCTGGCTTCTCATTCCCACTACTGAACTGAGCCATTCTTGTGTCAGCTCAGCTGTTTATGTGGCTATGTAGTGAGCCAGGTCTGGTAACAGTGAACTGCCAGTACATTTTGGTTTAAGTTTTAGGTTGATTGGTTCATTTCATGGTGTGGCCTGGCCCTGTGAGTGGTGCAAGGCCGTTGGGCTGCATGGTGTAGTGGCAGTGAGAAGCAGCTGGGAATGTGGGGATGGAAGCTGGTGGAAGCAGAGTCACTGCCTTCTATGGAACAGAATCCTTAATGCACCTCTAAGAGATGTTTTTACAGGTGTTACTATAATGCTGGAGTTCTTGCAGAGTAAGATAATGGATTAGCCGTTAAATTACTTCTTTCTTTCTTTCTTTGTAGGATCATTTTATCACTCCCTCTGTCTTTGGAGAAATTATTTACAATAACTTCCTGTTTGACATCCCTAAGATTCTGGATCTCTGTGTGCTTTTTGGGAAAGGAAATGGTCTCCTGCTCCAGAAGATGATCGGTTAGTTAAAGCCAAGGAACGACTTGTTGCGTTTAGGCTTTTGCTTATTTGTATAATGGCAAGTGATGAGTGGGGGTTTCATGCCAATGTTACTGGAAAATGAATTGTTCAGTAGCAACTGGAATCTGTAATTTCTAGATCAGATTACTTTTTTTAATTTTTTTTCTACTTGTGAACTTCATTTATGTGAAGGAAAGCATCGTGTCCCGCTGCTTAGCTGTCCTGAGCTGGGCTTGTGATGTTAGACATAAACCAAGGCTCAGTCACCCCTCAGCCGTTGTTTCCCCTGCCTATTAAATGTGTCTTCAGCCACTGCAAGAGGACGGCGAGGGCTCTGTAAAATCCTGGTTATGATGGGAGAGGGCAAACAGCTCAATTCCTGGGCAGGAAGGGAGGAGGGTTAAGAGGTGGGGCACAGTCCAGCTGCTCATGTGAGTGCTTCTGTTCCCAGAGCTGGGAGCCAAGTGAAACGTGCAGTGTGAGGTGATCGCTGGTCTATGAAGTGGGAGAATGTGACATTTCAATGCAGACATTGTTTTATGTAGTGCCTTCAAACCACAAAGCACTTTAGAGCATTGCCTAAGCTGTGCTAATGCCTCGATTTCTCTGTATCTGTAGATACAGTCCTAGGGGCAAGTGCACAGTTAGCAATGTCTCAGCCTTGGATGCTAGAACCTGTGTAATCAAGAGAGGGCACGTTGGTTTAGCTCCTGTATTTATCCTGTGCTCTTCTCACAAGGGAAGTACCTGTGATCTTTAACGTCCACCTGAGCACAGATGGAAGAGTACCTAACCTTGGATAAGTGATCTGCTCTCCCTGAATTCTAACCCTCGTTGTCTATGGTTCACGTAGTGAAACTGTTTCCTTTCTTTGGTAGTTATTGTTGTCTCATTTCCAAGTTGACAAACACGAGAAGCATCAGAGATCGTGTGATCCAGCCACATTTCTGGATCAGAAACGTTTAGATAAACCTTTGCATTTTCTAATCCCTTTTTCAGTAGCTTCCGCTCTAAATTCATTTGTCACACCTCAGAGGTGGAAAGCAGGCATGACAAGATAGATAGTTCTCTTTCAGATGTGAAGCTTAGATTATCTGGGTCTTAAAATATTCTGAAGAAGCCCTAAGCGTATGAAACCTCATTTGAATTACACATATTCTCTGGAGTGCAGCACAGTAATGCTGCATGCAAGTGGCCAGTGATTTGCTCACCTGATTATTTGCATTATGTTGTGACAGTAATGGCATGAGCAGTTCTGATGTGTAATTCATAACTTGATAAACTTTAGGTTCTTCTCAGGGTATAAATTTTTCTGAGACCTGTCTCATAACTCTTACTCGTGCTCTGTCCTTGCTGGAGAACTCTGTTAATTTTCACCATCTGAACAGTAATTCATAGGAAAACAAGCAGCCTCTGCGCTTACTTGGTGAGGATTTATGGTACGCCATTACTCAGTGGAGTATTTTGTAAAGATAATGAAGTCTTAGTAATATAATAACAGGTATTACTAAAGCCTCATTACCTTTAAGAAATATTCCGCAGAACATTTTGCAGTGTGTGCTGAACTGTTATCAGTAATTAAAAGTCAACTCCAGCCATCAAATAAAGGCACTAGGAATGTTTAGCGATAGTATTTGCATTATTCATTGATTCAGCCCCTGGGGTGTGAATCATCTAACATCTCTTTGCTCTGCTCTGAGGAGCGTGCTCTCCTTGCCGATTCTCCAGTTGCACTGCAGAGTTGATGGGGCAGCTCCATGGGAGCAGTGACCCTGTGCCTGTGTCCTACGTGGTGGTTAGCTGTGTTTTGGTGGGGGCTGGGGAGGGTGTCAGTGATAATACAAGTGCATCTTCTGGTGCAGATTTGCTTCTTGGCATGAATGTCTGAACTAGTGGAGAACGGTTTCCTCCCCTCTCTCTCCACAGAAAATATCTTCACTCAGCAGCCGAGTTACTTCGGTGACCTGGATGAAACTCTGCCCACTGTCCTCCAGGTACTGCTTTCCTGCTTGGCTCAGGGCTTGGGTTGCATCTGGAAATGTGGCATGGCTCAGAGGGTGGAAGGGAGCAAGTGTGGTGACAGGCAGGGTATTTGCTATCACTTCGCTAATGCTAGCGTGTGTCAGGTAGGTTTTGAACCTCTATCTAAAACTATCCGAGGGTGGAAGGGAGCAAGTGTGACGGGCAGGGTATTTGCTATCACTTAGCTAATGCTAGCGTGTGTTAGGTAGGTTTTGAACCTCTATCTAAAACTATGGCTTGAGGACTGTTTCCTATCACCTTCCTTCAGCTTCTGGCCTCAAGGAATTTTTGTTAGGCAGTTCAAAAAGTATTCTTTGTATCCCCCCCACCAAGCAGGGGAAGCATTGAAACTTTAAACCAACAAAATAGAGATTGTGAAATGTAGCCAAGACTTGCCATAGTAGAATGGGTGAGCACAAACACTGCAGGTTCTCAGGAGTAAATGAAAATCTGTTGGAAGGGATGCAGTGCCGCTGTACAAAAAGTACTGAGCACCTCTCCATGCCTAAGTTTTCATTTTTATAAGCAGCGTGTGTATTCCCCAGACTCAGTGAGCAGGATTCACATTTAACCTGAGGGGGGAATCAAGGTGCCTTGACATCTTTGTACACTGAAAATGTCACTTCTGTGTCCTCAAAAAGCTCACCTATGCAGGAAAATAAACAAACCCAAGATACAGTTTACCCCAAGGCACCTATAACGTCACTTGGCTTTTTGAAAGCCCACATTTTTCTTTCTTTCCATGTGTTAAGGAATGGTTAGAGCTAAATCTCAGAGGTGCTATCATGTTTAAAAAATATTTGTAGATGCGAGACCAAATGTTCAGATGAATTACTGGGGAAAGCCCAGAGATTTCATTTGCTTGTTGTGGTGCACCACATCAGAGCGGTTTCTCTGTAGAACACTGGTTTCTTTGCTGTGTGTTTTGGTGACCGTTGCAGGGTTGATACTGGTGTATCTCAAGTGTATGGTCTAACAGCTCCAAGCTGTGTCACTGCTGATCCATGAAGCTATTTATGTGCTTATACTGTCACTGTCATCTGCTGATACCTGTGCAGGTTTAGGAGCTCATGTGCCCCATGGAGCAGTAATATTAACCCTGAGTACGCACCCTTAGCCACCCATTCACAGGTCTCAGAGAGGAGTGTTTGACAAATCTTGGGATACAAACGTAGAGGAGTTGTTTTTTAAGTTTGTCAGCAAGCTGGAGCCAGATTCTTGGAGCTTCTCCCCAGTTCTTTTGTTTATAAACAAGGCCACAAGATCTGTCCTGCTAGTCTCAGGGGAGAGGGCAGGAAGGCTTTTGGGCTAACCCATATGCAGGAGGTGGTGTGAACTTCCCAGTTGTTCTATTGCTCCCTTGCAAATAGGGCTCCCAGGTGGCCTCCCACTGTTGGCCTTGCTGGCTGACTTTTCTCCCATAGCTAAGGATTTGTCTTAGCTGCAGTCCTTCTCTCAGCATCACCACCTCCATACGCAGCTGCACTTAAATTACTTGCAAGCTGTGGCCCTTCCTGCAGTGGCCTGCAAGAGTCTGGTGCAGCTTTCATTTTACGCAGCTCCGTGCTGTATGGAACTGGTCTCACGTGGCATACGTGGTCATAGCAGTGACTGTTAACTGTTAAAGGTCCCACTGCTTTCTCCTGTCTGTTTTAACACTGTTCTGTTCTCTCGATTCAGGTGTTCAACAATATTTTACATAAATGTGGTTTGCAGTGTGAAGGAGCCTCTGCTGAGCCCCAGAAACTGGAAGAAAAAGTCAGCGTGACCCCGGGGAACATGCCGCTGCAGGTAGAGCTGTTGCTCCTTGCCCTTTGCTGTTTGTAGTCGGGTAGACTGAGCAGTCCATGGAGCCGTAAGGCCACAGAGGGTCATTCTGTTCCCAAATACTGGTCGTTCGTGCAGCACGTGGCTCTGTGGCATTGTTTCACTGTTTGTCATGTGCCTTGATGATAAAGCCTTTCCCTGTGAGTTGGTTGCTTTGCTCGTGTGCGTTTCAACCATACCCATTGTATCGCGGGTTCTTTTTAAACGTGGGGTCTTTTTTGCTGAACTAGCTTGTAACTAACACGACGAAGCATCTGCCAGAAGACTCCACGTAATCCTGACAGTGACCAGAGTTGATTGTTTTCTTCAGAAGCGTTGGACAGCAGTGTACTTTAGTTAAATAAGAGAGGTTGAGGGTTTTTTGTGCTGGGTCTTGTGCAAAGACAGGCCACGTGTCAGTGAGCATGGTATGCTACAAAATCTTAGTCGTACAGTCTGTCTGTGCAGGTTGGTACAGCTACCCTGGAAATGCATTTTGCACCAAAATGGACTGCTGAAATCACCTCTTAAATTCCTGTATTACTGCTGTGCAGTGCTTCCAGCTAGATGGGGAAGAACACGATATGGGGAGGATATTGAGGACAGAGCCACTCTCCAAAACAGGATCTGATGAAGATTCTTATAATTTCACAGAATCTTTAATGAGAATGAGCATTGGGATTGCTTCATAGATCTCTAAAGGATCAAAGTTTTTGGAGAGAAGTTGTCTCTGACACAAGATCCAGTAACGTGTCACGTGGCGCACTCTGCGCAGGCAGGAAAAAGGCTTGCTCCGAACATGATGTGTCCCTGTCAGTGAGTTATACTGTGTTCCTAGGAAAAACTGTCTGGCTTTTGTCTCAGTAATTGCTCTTTCTTTCTTAGGAGCTGAAAGATGTTGTGCTGTACTTATGTGACACTTGCACAACACTCTGGGCGTTCCTTGATGTCTTCCCATTGGCTTGCCAGACCTTCCAAAAACATGAGTTTTGCTACAGGTACATTTTGGATTGCAAACAGAGCTTGTCTTGGTGAAGTAAAAGTACTGAGTGTGCTATTGTGTCCTGTCCCAGCACCTTCATCGTTAAAAGAGTAGACAGATTTAATGCCCCTAGAGACTGCTAGGTTCACGCTGACAGGAGTACAGAGACTCCCAGTAAAGACATTAATATACGGACATGTAGAGTTTGTCTGTTATCCGTGGGTGATCCAAGAGGCAGGCAACCATGGCGATTTCAAAACCCAGCTAAACAGTACCCGATGTGCTTTGGAAAGA